AGAATGCTCACTGCCTCGTGCCCGTGGCTTGCCCGAGCCCACTGCCGCTATCGCTGGCCACACGACGAGCCCATCCGGCATCACGGAATCGGCCTATGCGCCAACAATAGCCCTGTTCTTGTCTTCGATGCCGCCGACCCGCGGCCGGGGGATCACAATCGCCCGCCAGGGAGCGCCGCAACGCCGCGCTGCCGTCAGTGGCGCTGAAGCATGGCTTTCAGGCCGTCTTCAAGGGGCACACGAGGACGCATCTAGATGGGACCGTGCTTTTAAACCTGGCGTATGGCGCCGGCTCGGACGAGCTCTCGGCGATGACGTGGGAGCGACCCTGTGCGAAGGCGTGAGACGTGTGACTCCGCTGCTGGATATATCCCGCGAGGATGCGCGGCGTGTTTGCATGGAGGAAGGGCTGCGCTTGTGGAAGGACGTGCACGACGAAGATGCCCAGTCTTGGAGGAACGGTTTGTGGAAAAGCGTCATGCCTGTGCTGAGGGAATCCTGGCATGCATGTAAGGGGTAAAAATGTCTGGCGAGGAGCGCGGGCTTTCTGAAAGACGAGAGCGAGTACTTGGAAAGGGTGGCAGGGGACGTGCTTGATCGTACGGCGTGCACGCGGGGGCGGCTTCAGGATCGATCGCGAGCTGGTGCGGAGGGAGAGCGTGGCCGTACAGAGGCGCGTCGTGAGGAGGGCGGTCAAGGAGGACTTGGGCGTCGAGCACGCGAGGGGCGAAGAGAAGAGAAGGGGAAAAAGAAGAGAATTTCATGACAACACAGAAGGGAAGCCATTGTGGCCGTCCCTTTGTTGAAAAGGGAAAGCTGTGTGGGAGGTGAACGAGAATCATGAAAACATGCGGAAGCGGACTTGAAGTATTCTAACGTGGTAGGAACAGATGTGTTCGGTTACCTTTCCAACACAGCATGTATTGTTGTAGTACCTACTGTTTACGGATGTCTTCAATCCGTCTTATAAAAAGCTGTGTGTTCCTCGCTGTGGTAACAGATGCTGTTACCACAGCATCTGTTACCACAGCATCTGTTACCACTGCGGAGAGCATGTGCCGTATGTAATAGGCGATGCGAAGAGCATGGTCACTGGCTCACTGTGACAACATGTGGTGCAAGGAGCATGTACAGAAATGGGACAAGAGGCCAAATCTGCGATTAGAGACATAGATAAGGCTGATGCAAGAAGAGGGTCCAAGAAGAGGATCCAAGAAGAGGATCCAAGAAAACGATTTGCAGGAGACCTGACAAGTCGTGGATTACTACCGGTTTGCATGTGCGACCGCAGCATGACGAGGAAACAGTGCCTTCCTGCGATTCAGCCACAGCCTCGGCACTATTTTTCGTTGATATGCAACTTCACCATCGCTAGTATTCTTCTTGTGTGAAAGCAACATGGTGTGGCAAGCGAGCGTCCCGTGATGAATCTTTGATGAAATACAGTTCTTTATACATATGAAACAAACACATACTATCTAGACAAACTATGTACCGTACAACAAATTGCTCTTTCTTCAACTGCCACCATTGGGCTTCCCCTCTGCCTTCTCTCTTCTGGCAAGCTCAGCCCTTGCCCACCGCAAACCGTCGCGCTGCAGTAGATGCCGGATTTCCTGGAGCATGGAGTGGCCCGGCGGATAGAGCAATCCATGTGCTTTTCCGGTCTCCATTTGCGGTATCTCTGTGCGTTTCGCCTCCTCCTCACGGCTTCTTTTCGCGTGCTCGTCAGAAGCCCACCGATACGATTCCCAAAACCCATGAGGCTGTGCCCCAACAGAGGCCTGTCGCGAGCCCATCCCGTTGTGACTTGTCCCGTGTCCATACACGCCTTCCGGGTACCCAGGCGGAATGGCCAACTTGGGGATCGGGGAGGGATGCGATAGACGAGGCGTGTGGGTGGCGTCCGGGGTTGGATCGGCGGTGTGGTGTGGGGTTGTGTCGTCTAGCTCGGGTGGCTTGCTAGTTTCGACATCAACATCCCATTCTTCTGGTCCCGTACTTTGTGATTCCGGGACGGGCGATGCACTGAGCGTGAGGTCTTGATCACTGGGAGGATGGGAGGCGCCGGTGTTGCTTTCACCCCCACCATCGCTGTGCTCCTCCGCCATAACTGGAACAACCGGGCCAGTTGCGATCGGGCTCCTTGACGGGCTCGGACTTGGCTCTCCCGCCGCTAGGGGCTCGTTCGGAGTTAGACCAATAGTGCCGACAGACCGTCGCAGAATAGAAATATCTGCGCACTGCAGATACTCTTGTGGGAAGTTATCCCGATCACAGACTTGGCGCCGTTGGTTCACGCCTCCCACGGCTCCTCCTTGACCCTCGCACTTTCCCCAATGAGGCCCGTTTCGCCCGCTGAAGAATTCCGCCATGCCCGGCGGGTTGCACCTGCTAGATGTTGACCAAAACCACTGCAGAACGCAATGTTCGCAATGCAAGTGATTTGGCAGTCGGTACAACATCTTGTTCCCGCCGAGATACTGCCGACCGTGCATTGTGTTTGGGTCGAACGGCGAACAGGGCAGGTACCACCGGCCGGGGTAGTGCGAATCAATCGGTGCGCACGCCCGGCTGCGACCATTGTCACAGATCGGGTTCGGCTCCCGCCGCAGTTGGTGACAATGGCCATTCCGAAAGCATTGCTCTGAGATCTCGCCCCCACACTTCGACACGTCGCAGACATGGAACTCGAAGAAGCCGCCGTGGTTCGACACCAGATTCACCTGCGCTGCTAAGATGCCCCCTTGAACGTGCGTCTGCACGACCATACCACCGAAGTAGTACTTTCCCCCGCGCAGGTGATCTTGCCGGGCCCCTTTCTCATCCCCGCACACGCCAGCTCTCCAGACGAAATCCCTCTGCAGCGGAAGAAACGGATTCCAGCCCTTCTTTCCGGCCGCCTTCATCTGAGAAGCAACCGCAATCCCGGAAACGGCCGCCTTTTCGCCCGCCGGAAAATGGGCGAAAGGATCCCGTGGAGCCGAATCGTTGATGCCCTTGACGAATTTGGAGGTAGCCAGGGCACCGCGTTGATTGGGAACGGCGAGGAGGGCATGACCATGAGGACGGTTTAAAAGCACGGACAGGAGTGCAAACCCTGTAACGAGATAGAGTGTGGCGACCGACATGATTGAGGAGTGGGAGGGAGGGAGGAGAATGAGGGTCTGCGAGAAGGTGGATGTAGGTGTAGATGGGGTTGTGGGATGGTGCGGAAGGACGGGAATATGTTTGAGAGGCAAGGTAGGGAGGAATGGGAATGAGTTTGGCGACGTTTGGTGGTTGAGAATGGGATTGTGGAGGGGAAGGGAGGTGAGGGAGGGAAGCCAGGAGTGATTTGGTGGTTCAACATGCTTTAAGTATTAACTGTCGGCTTTTGGGGGTGTAGCTAGCAGTGTGTGATAAATGCAGATGCCATTGTCAGGAAGGAGACAAGAGACCAGTGTTTCGAATGCATGTACATGATACTTCGACGAATGGATCGAGCCGGTCGAACCGGTCGAGCCTATCAAAGATTTATCTGTGATCTATATCAGTGAATGCAAAAGTCGATTGTAAACATGAAATTGCACCACTGCGTGTCGAACAAGTTGTTGAGGATGTGTCGAGCATCGTAGAATGGAGGATAAATACAAACAGAACGAGTTTGGGGGAGGAGGGGGAAGGTAGAGTGTTTTTTTTTTCAGCTATGTATCGATTTCGAGTGAGGAAGCGAGGGGGAAAGGTGACGTTGTCAGCTTTCTATCAAATTGCAATGGAGGAACCATTGAGTGGAGGAGTTGAGTTTGGTTCGAAGATCGCCCTGCACTCCAGGTCGTCCTTTTGCCACACAGTGTCGGTCTGTCAGAGGCATGAGGCAACAAAATAGTGCGTGCATGCGTTTCTATCAAGAAATGAGACGTTAACTCTGGCCAGCGAGTTCACGTCCACGCACCACTGCTTTTCTGCATCACACTCTCATGGAAGGCTTGAGGATGTGCCCCCGTCGGCACAATCTATCATTACCAGATTCATATTCCCCATTTTAAAAGTTTCATCTCCTCAAAAAGCCACCAAAAACTACAAACAGACACAGCATTCACAATTCACATGTATTTCCTCCCCGGAAACATTCCTTTTATTTCCCTTTATCACAAAGGCCTTTCCGTCTGCGTCTGCACCTTTTCAGAAACCACTGTTCTTTAATTGCGGCATCTGCTCCATAGGTCTTCAGTGACACACCTATTCTCAATTGAGTTGGGTGAAGATCAATGGTGGTGAATCACAAAATACCTCCTACAACAGGGTTTGGTCTCAAGTACAGTAGACCGCTCCATCTATTGAGAAACTCATAAATTCATCGTTCACTGGACTTGTAGAGCAGTGGCTGGCAGAACCACTTCGCGTTGTGTGCATAATTGAAGTACTCAATCCGTTATTGTAAATGCAAGCAAGCATATTAACATTAGCTTGCTGAAACTTTCTTCTTTCACAGTCCCGGAGCGTATAACTGTACGTGTTCTATCCCTACAGCTAAGACATCGTTATTAAGCCTCATTTCTAGTCTTCTAGTAAAGCCTGCACTATCTGTTATGCGCTGTATAGTTTCTAGTAGCGCAAACTCGATGATTACATTGGTCGCCATTTTTGACGTGAAGGTCTAAGGCACATTCAATGCATTTGAAATTGAACTTTTTTTTTCATCTAGTCGTACATGCATGTTATTTAAGGCAGATTCCTTTTTCCGCTGGAAATCTTGAATATGTAAAGAAACAACTCTGCCCCCGCACACTGAAAGTGCCTTGATGCTTGCCTTAATTCTGCTCGTGAAACATTACGCGGGTTAACCTCAACCCCCTCTCCTTTACAAAGAGAGTGTCGAACCCGTCGACCATAGTGTCAGAACCAGTTGCCGCTGCCAAGACCTGGGAAGCCCTTGTAAAATGGCTACATATGCATGGCATTGGAAAAGAGGTCTATGATACAGATCACGGACAGTTACGCTTAGAATCTCTTCGCACTTTCTAAACTGAACGCCATGTTTTACTGTACGGTTTCTCTGCTGTGAATTAAAGAACACAACAGGGGGTAACCGAAATTTCATAAAGGAAGGAGCTCGCATCCGCACATACCATCAACAAATGCGAGCGGCATATCTAAACATGAACGACCATTTGGCCTCAAATCATGTCATTATAACAGTGTCCACCTAGCTCGTCTAGAAATTGAACGCTGCGGTACCAACAGTCTCGGGTCCTTCCACGGCGGAGAACTTGCTCTGTTTCACCTTCACAGCACCATTAATCACAACCATCAACTTCCAATTGGTTGGGCGACGCGAACATTTGTTATAATGGATCACTCTCACCTTGTATCTTCCGGTTTCGATGTTAGGGTTCGGGAAGTAGACAACGTTTTCTCTACCGAAGAAAAGGTCGGAATCCGAATCACATCTGCCAGCGTTGTTGTCGCCGTTCAACTTTCCGTACTCTGTCCTCGTGTTCCTAAAGCTCAAGACGTCCCCATCGGGCTCCTCCACCTCAAGGTCGAAGTCATCTTGAGAATCCCATGTCAATTTCACTTCAATTGTAGGTGCAGTCGTACGGAAGGCTACGCATTCAGTCCTCCCTGATGCGTTCAGAATCCTCGTGGGGCGTCCAGTGGCGTAGTTGATTATTTCATATCTGTTGACGGGTATGATCATGCATTGGTCATGAAGGAATGAATGCTGATTGACACTGCTTGACAACCTACCGAGGCCTGAATGGGGTAGGGCAGGAACCTTGAATGGCCTGATGTATGTGGAAATAAAGTTTCTCCTCAACCCACGTGGTGACCATTCTGAAATCGGAACGTAGCGGCCACTGTCAAACACTTGTGCCTCTCCAGTCTTGAGAACCTCACCCACTTTCTGTCCAGGACGACAAATGAAGGGGAGCTGGGCCGTGCTTGGAGCACCAAGAATTGTGAAAGAGGCCTTTGGAAGCGTGGTTCTATCTCCATCGAAGTTGCACAACCTAAACTTGCAGAAACTTCCACAGGGACGCGGACGGGCATTCACAGTAGCAACTGTACATAAAAGGGCCGCGATGAAGAGATTCTTGAGATTCATGCTGACCAGAGTTGGAATGTGAAATTTGAGTCTCAGCGCTAGCCTCGGCAAGGTAAGCAATCAAGAATGAATGAGATGATGAAGAACTGAAAGATGTTGATGCAAGGACCTCAGCATCGATATTTATACGCAATTGGAAGTGAGATTGTGGTAGCTACTGAACTCGCTCTGGAGCGTTTCATATGTTGTATGGACATGTCTCAAAATTGTGCACTTTTCTATATGTCTTCGGAAGACTTTCCCTATAGTCGCGGTGTAAACAAGAATAGTCCATTAAGCAGTCGTGTAATAAATATTAAGGAGGGATTGAAGATAGATTGAAAGCACTGCTTCGATGGATACACCATTTTATTATGTTAGAGTCAGACATAATAGTTTTACTACGGCATATTAACAAAAGGTTTAGCCTCTCGAGTTAAATGAAATTCCACTACGTTCTCCGTAATGCTATTCCGATTTTGGAAGCACGAAGGGTAATGTCGCGTTGTGAAGAACCTATTCCATTTTAGCACTCGTGCGCATCTCTCTGATTCTAACGTGATGCATCAGGCATGCGCGGTTGAAGGGTTCATTTTGTGTTATAATCGTTTCTACAACGGATTGATCTTTTCTTGTGGATTAAAGAGCCCTATTTCTAAATCCAAACTTAATTTTGTGTAACTATTATATTAGACTCGATAGTAATCATCATCTTTCCGCTGTCTCGGAAGACTGTCCATGATGGACAGGACTACGTGGTGATACGAATTCAGAACAAAAGCTGTCTATTGCTTGTAGTGATTGTGAAGGGATGTTCCCTCCGGAGAATGCAAACAAGACAACCAAAAGGAATCTCGGGAACTTTGTTACATATCTCTGCTTCCTCTCAAAGAAGGCGTGATATTGAATGAAACCTCATGTGACAGGTGGGGAATCTTCCATCCATGGAGGGAAGAGCCATGAACGAATGTCATTTTGTAGCAGTTGGTATCCACGACAGAGCACTGGGACATATACTCATAATCGACGAGGGTTCTCAAAGAGATGTCAAGTCGTCGATGGAGGCATGAACGACCTCGTTTGCAAATCCATTCTAACAACATGTGTCATGATCAATTCGGAGAGGCGTTCTTTCTACCACTGTGTCTATGAAGACTTTGTGCATGCCCTATTGATAAAGAACAGACATACATCGCATTTAGGGCCTTTAGTCTGGTTTCTCTACTACAGCTGCTCCTTGCAAGTGGTATCGCAGAATAAAACTTGTTAGAATACACTGCATGAAGCTTTGCGAAGTGGATCACGACACATCTGTGCCAGTTCTAACGCATGAAAGGAAGGTGAGGAACATCTGCGTGGAAGCAATAATCTTTTAGCGGGCATGCATATTTTCTTATTGCATCTATTAAGCAAAATAGCAGAGGAGGCTTAGTAGAGCTAAACGGGCGGCACAGAGTAACTACCAATGGCAGATGTGAGAATAGTGCGTGCATGTGATGCATGGCTTGCTAATTGCTAGGGAGATTGCTAATTTGGTCCAGCTAAGAGTCGTCAAAAAATATATACGTTTTCGTCCCGGCAAAAACAGGCATAATTCTTGGTGTCGAAGAGATATTGCAGCCAGCACTAACTGAGAGTACAAACGAGACGTTGCCTCAGCTTCGGCCTTCTGCCCTTTCGATAGCGTACACTTGTCCCAGTACTGTAGCAATATTTCTTCTTGAAGTGAAGTGTTTGTTGTAATCCGATGGTCTGGCATGAAGCAAGGCGGATTTATTCAGGAAACCGTGCGCTTCTGTAACCCAATACTGTACGTGGTTGGACTAAACCGTGGTGATGACCCTGGGGCGCTGTAATCGCAAGACCGGCTTTTTCGAATTCAAAAACGACAAAGGCAGCCGCTCTTACCGTACTAACGCGTCTGACTGTTAAGCAATTCATATAGCACTGTTTTTATGGGACCAACCGGGCAGTACTTCTGCAATGCCCAATCTACTGTAGGATAGCACCCATCTACAGCAACACATTCATTACAGGCATCTTTGTGCCAGGAAACATGACGATGCCTTGTCTCAAATCTCGCGCGGCAATGAACGTGTCCAGGACCTTCAAATCCGAGTTGCTAGCTAGCAAATCTATCACAAAAAGAAACGCTGTGCTATATTCGTTAGTGGATGTCTTTGCTTGCAGCACAAACGCAAAGCGCATTCCGCAAGCGCGCAGGTCTCAAATTCGCTCGAAATTTCATTGTCATCAAGGATGAGACAGCACACGGATACATACCCCAACAACGAGTGGCCCTTCGTCATAACAGAGCTCCGATTTGAAACACGCACATGCGGCCGTTCACAAAAACGCGAAGATCACTTCTCTTGAGACACATTTGACCACGCAGAGACACGACACGGGTTCTCCCTGGAAACTTTACAGGGGGGTACCCTATTTAGTGCTACCCCGTGTAGCGTGATAAAATAGGCACTAAATCGGGTTTGGCACAAGAACGGTAACTTAACAAGAAGACTGAATATAGTATTTAACTAAGGAAACCCGTCAAGGTCGTCTGTTTCTGCTTCTTCTGTGGCTTGAGAGCCTCAAATATGATGCGTCTAGCCTTGCGCAAATGTGAAGACGCATCAGGTAGCGAGAGAGCTACCGCTGCCGCCTCTAATTTTGAGAACTCATTCGCTGCTTCGATCAAAGAGAGAGAACGAGCCTGACTAGCATTAGAAATCTCCTCCATCACTGTATCTGTATGCTCTGCTTCAGTTCGCCCAGATGAAACACATCTAGACCCATCCATTTCCTCCATAATTCTCTCCACCTCTTCTAGAGCTTCTGTTTCCATGGCCTCTCTGACTTCACTTGAATCCTCTACCATAACCCAACCATTAATATTACTTTCATTTAACGTAGCAATATCAGCGGCATCCCTTTGGTCATTAACATTGCTCACATTTGCATTTTTTGCCTGGAGAGATAGGCCCGACATATCTTTTAAAACAGATTCCATGGCGTCCTTCGGGAACACGTTCTTGTATTTTGTGACCAAGGGCACTTGTTTATCATACCTTTTGGTGTAGAGCCGTTAGAGTAGCACTAAACCGGGACATACACTATATATAGAGGCACTAAATCGGGTACCCCCTGTATTTACAACTTGTAAGTAGAGTTTTTTATCATACGCGATATGCACCGTGATTTTAATACAATTCTCAATAAACTCAATTACAGTAGGGGCAAAAGAAGCCATTGAATTTTTTGAAAAACTCAAAGTATTGCAACCTATCACAGCACTCCGCCTGTCCAGTCCAAATATCCGTCAACAAATAAACATTTACTTGCCACCAAGTAAACAGAGCTAAGACCCGAAATTTGCAATACGTATGTTAGCCAAATAAAAAGAGATTTCTTAACGTAAGGGCAAAATATGTAAACTGTTCTTCCAACCATATGAGTGTCTCTGCGGGTCTAAGAAATCTCTTTTTATTTGGCTAACATGCGTATTGCAAATTTTGATTTTTGCATGCCAAGAAAAGGAAGGCCGTGTAGAGTCTACACGGCCTTCCTTTTAAGATAAGCGAGGTTGAAGTCTACGTCTACACTGTAGACGTAGACTTCAACCTCGCTTTATCTTTTCTTTCATAGAGTACAACTCTAGATACCGATTTCATGTAGCTCACCTCAATCATATCACTTTCGTCTGTAAAGCGAAAGTAATGCCATTACAGTATTCTTTTTCACCGTGTTCTTTGAGTGAACCGAACCCGAGACAGACTTGGCGAACGCAGAGTTCCGCAGCACGTGCTTTTTGACTGCATGTTGCGAAACTCGCAAGTCTTGTTGTTTTCTTTTGCCAGCTAGGCATAGACCGGGTTTGCTGCCTTCGGGCGTGTCTTAACAGGCTGGTTTTTGCTTTGCCTTGCCCGGTTTTGCCAGGAATACTTTTAAATTCTTAACAAATACCGTATGCTTCTTAAGCCGTTGCTTTTCTTAAACACATAAATTAAAACGTAGGAGCCACTCATAGCACGCCAAGTCACTTCTTTGGGCAAGGCAAAGCAAACCGCAGCAAAACGGGGCATGTTAAGACACACCCTTAGTTTGTTAGACCAATACTATTGCATCACATGAAGAGGGATATACTGTATGAGGAGAGGCTACTATGCCATATTAAACGTTCTTATTCGCGAATCACGGAAGCGGTCCTGGTAGGTTCAATCGGGGTTCTCCTGATTGGAGAACATGCGGAGAAGATGCTAAAACTTGAGTACTAATGAGGCGTGGGAAGTCATCATGGCCATATGGGATTTACACACATGTTTATGATTTCGAGTGAAGCGAGTGTAATCAAAGAAATGTATCTCCGTGACAGTAAGAAGCATTGCGGGCTGTTTACTGCTGTCAATTACAGTAACGATAGGATAGTATTGAAAAAACGCGTTTGCCTCTTCGGTTTAGTTGGATTTAGAAGCACAGACTCATTATTTTCAATCATATTAAGAATACGTTAAGGAACGGAATTGTACTAATACAAGCAAAAGAACGGGAAAGAGACGGTTGCATTGGAAGAAGTAAAATTTGCCCGGAATCTGGACTCATCTTTGAGTTCCAGGGAGTCATCTGAAGCTGCCCCCAAACTTAACGCAATCGCATTTAGCTCATCAATAGTGCAGGCTTTGACATACGCTTAGCTTTTTGAGCACGCATACGTGGCGTATAAAAAATTCAGAGCTCTGAAGCAAGGCAATGGTGACAAGGGTTCTCGGTTAAGCTTTGAGGCCACCACCTTAAACGAGAGAGTGAAGAAAGGACATTCGCCACGGAGAAGTTTCCTGGGAAGTTTACTGCATGTAGCCACTTGTGTCGAAAGCAGTTATTGCATTTCGAGCAGTGTAGATGAGCTGCATAATTTTTGCAAAGGCAAGCTCGTGTTGCCGATTGAAGAATGAAGCAGCATTATTTATTTTTGCAGTACTATCTGCGAAGCCAGACAATGATAACAATGCATACAGTTGTAGAATAATGTGGGGCTCTAACATATGAAGAAAGCGGGCCTCGAAGTCAACATACTGAGAAGCACATCATCAGCATTTGGCCTTGAAACTTCTTTTAATTCTCTCTCCTTACATCGTAATTTTTACAAGAGCATAGCCCGGTTCTTTCAACCAGACAGTTGTACGGGCTGCTAAAGAAGGCGAACATGCCGCAGGCCCCACAGAAGAATGGATTGAAGGTTGGTCTTTTCAGCAGATGCATCTTTCGTGGATGCACAACGTCATGCTACCAAGCTTGAAGCATCAAGGCCCTGATCATGGGCTGTTCGGAGCCTCCTTGTTGCTCTCGACACTTTCCCTATAAAGTTGCATCCAATCGCACGGCGGCATGCACGTCATCGCACCTTACTAGAGAATGTGCCGTGGTGACCCCAAAAATTATGTGCATTTTTAAGATGGTAGCACGTGGCGCATGACCACAGTAACGCCTGTCCCCATTATCGGCAGATATGAAATTGGTGCCTCTCCTTCTCAGAACATGATGCAGAAGCATGGCATGAGGCCAGGTAGTTAGTTTTCGGAAAGGCATTCGCGATACCTGTCCCATCTCCCCTCATACTACCTCTACGCCATACATCGAATCCACACCTTCTCCAGTAGCGACATGCGTCTTCTTCAAGTTTTCCTTTTCCTTCTCTCTCTCTCGCTCTCCCTGGCAGAGCCACTATGCACCGTCTCGTTCTGCTCCCTTCACGGCGCACACGCCTCGTGCACCACCCATGGCCAAGGCATGACCATGGTCACCACCTGCAGCACCTGGCATGTTCTCTCCGCTACGGACACCGACCCCCCCTGTGAATTTACTTGTCTCCAAACCTGCCCAGCGGACCCGAGGGACCGTCTCATCGCTTCCGACGGCTCTCTCATCTGCTCCAATTGCGCACTGCAGAGGAAAAGCTGTGACTCTGCCTTTCAAATAACTGGTCCTCTTCCAGAGGAGGCTCGTTCCTGCGTAGGGAAAATTCACTCTGAAAACAGGGCAGAGTGCTGCAGTAAATGGGGCCTGGGCTGCGCCAGGGAGAATGAAAAATGCTGCACGACTCATTACTCCGCAAGGAAGCTTGGCTGCGAGAAGGGCACTGCTTGCGTTCTTTCAGACTTTGGGTTTTCAGAGCTTGATGTTCCAAATTCCGGCCGTTGTCGTGCCGTTTCAGCGAAGCAGCACGCCTGCGGAGTTTCTATCTGCTCCCGTCTTGGAAAGGAGGAGATATGTCATGTGGACGGCGAGCTGACTACTTGTGGAGCGTGGGGAACCCGCGATCGTGGGAGTAATGCCCCTTCCTGCGACTTTGAATGCGAAGAGTGCCGGGACTCTTCCGTGACTGTTTATGGAAGCAACGGCAAGAAGTATTGCTCTACATGCCATCTAGAGAAGGGCAGTTGTGATTCTGCATTCGATTTTCATGGACCTGTTGACCAGCCTCAGCGTCCGCTTCTTAAACCGCTTTCCAAGGATAGCAAAGCAGATGAAGACACAGAAAATGAGCCTGTTGTCGTTTCGCCAGCACAGAAACCCTTCAAGTGTACTGGGGAAATAGCTCCTCACGATGTCAGCTCATGCTGTGTCGAACATGAAATTGGATGCATTGCAACTGGAGAGGAATGTTCTTCGGGAGGAGGCATGGTACCTACTGCACCCTGCCAATCAGGCAACATTTGCGTGATCGCGGACTTTGGCCTTGCTTCTTTGGACGTACCGAACTCTGGTATTTGTCGTGAAGTGTCACCTGAACAGATGGATTGTTCCGTTTCAATGTGTACGCGGCTGGGTCAAGAGCAGCTCTGCAAATTTAATGGAAGCGTCACAACTTGCGGGTCCTGGGGTACCCCAACACATGGCCATGAGGGGCCGGACTGCTCATTTGAATGTCCCACATGCCTCCAACGTATTGCGCGTGTACGGGCCAGCGATGGATCAACGTACTGCTCTACTTGCAGGCTAGAAAAGGTAAGCTGCTCTTCTCACTTCCGTGTTTTTGGACCAGTTGGACCCGACGCTCCGCAGCTTGATGAAGAGGAAGACATGCAAGATGGAGAAATTTTATTTGAGCCTGAAGCGTCTCCAGAAATGCTCAATGACAACAAGGACAGTTGATAGATGGGAACAAAATAAATGAGCAGAAGAAGGGATAGATGCCAATAGATGGCATATGTTGCCCGCTTGATACAGATGGGCGGCACTTTTACATTGACTGTGTGGGGTTGTCCATTAATATACAACTTGCATTCAGTTACTTGTTTTTCTTCTTCGCCGAACACCGAGCTTTTCTTTATTGAAATCAGTTATTGTACCTTTGAAAATTCCTGTAACTCGAAACGCTACTTCCCACCTCCAATCAGACCAGATCCAACTGAAACGGCATTTTTGCGGACGTATAGTTAATTCTAAATTCTATTCCGTTTTCATCAGCTGCAGTCTGCCTCGACACTTGCCGCAAACTTTTACATTCGTGTCGATACTCTTCGAGTGACGACCGTAAACCTGCCCACAGTCGCGGCACTTGTACTTAAATTTGTACCGAATCTCGTATTCGTGGCAGGTAGTTATGACGAGCTTGTGATCCCAATCATTAAAAATCGTTGACCAGCGTTTAAACTGGTCACCATGCGGCGGCTTGAAGCAGTCGTCGATAATCCAAGCTGCTGCATGGCATAGCTCATGCGCAAGTGTATTGTACAGCCTTACGGGTTCATCCACCACCTTTTCACTCAGCTCGATAGCGGCGGTTCTTGTTCCACATGAGAGCCGCTTCATGCGAGTAATTCCAGCAGTCTTTGTCAACCTTCCAGACCAAGCCACTGTGACCTTTTGCTTCGGTGCCAAGTCCCTCACAAGTCGGCCAGAAAGCACCTCCTTATCAAAAAAAATTAACAGTCTATCGGCCGCCCTCTCCCTGAGGTGCTGAAATGGGAGCGTCGATAGACCGAACCAGTTCACGGCTCCTTTGAGCGCTGGAAGTAAGTTATGTCCCGCATCTACATCAAGCGACTTGTATCGCGGAGGGCTATCGGGAGGGAATCGCAGCTTCGTCACGATCCCTCGACACAGGCCATCCACCATGTCCTCTTCCCCGCTGTCGTCGCCGTCATCATCTACTGAATCCCTCCGGAATGACGAGTTCTTTCCTGTGATGTCTTTGAAGACTTGCCGTGGCGGACTTCTGGGTCGATAGCGTCGGCTTCCAGAATAGTCGCTTCCCTCTTCTGACTCATCCGATGAAGACCGAGACTCAAAAGCGGATGCAGCCGCCCGTCGTCGCCTCACGGTACGAAGTATGAATTCATCAATATCATCGCTATCTGCTTCTGACCTAACTGGCGACGGCGTGTGTATCGCAGCTGCATGACCTTGGGTCACCCAAACCTGCGCCTCAAAATCGGAGTCTAATTGACTTTCGGCTTGGTCAGAAGACGGGGCAGTTGAACTTGGTGGCGAGATATCAACGCGCAAATTCGAGTTGAGTCTCGCAGTATCAAGGACCGCCTCTACGCGTCGACAAAGCGAGTCCAAGTCGTCCGAGTCGTAGCCGGATGGCGAGTCTCTTAGAGACGGACTCGACGACAAGGAGCCAGGCAGACTTTTCTGGGATGAGGAAAGTGATGAACGCAATGATTGTGGTGAAGAGGGCGATGGAACGGGAAGGAAAGGGACTTCCGGAAGAGCTCCCGCTCGCCAGGCGGCGAGCGAAGACTCTGCGAGCTGGCGCAGAGCAGGAGCGTGCAGCCAGGAACGGTCTCTTGTGTTCTTCATGACGAGTCGTCGAGAGGATGGTGAAAGAGTGGGAGGGGAGGGCGGGGTGAAGGCCGGACTGGCCATCTCGGAAACCGTGGTGGCAGAGGTGCGGAATGGAGCAGCGGTCAGGGATGGGGATAAGGGAAGGGATGCTTATCCCTTCGAAGAGTTGTAGGATGTGTCTGGGCCTTCGTGAATGGCTGGTTTAAACGGATCAAATTCTTGATTCACTGGAGCGCTTGCATCACAAAACGGTCACACGTACGTGTACATGTGTACACGTGTCAGTGCAATCCAGGCCAAGAAATGACTTTCTCTCGCGAGAAGACTTCGCTGTTTCTACGGGTTTTCCTCGGTTGCAAGGGAGGCAATACGCCATCGCCATTTCAGCGCAATAGACCTTTGGATGTAGCGGCTTGATACCTTCGCCTCACGCAGACCGAGGGTAACATTACTGTTCAGAGGCCATGTGAAATACTTTGTGCTACGCGTGTTCTCGAAACATAAACCACTACAAATACACGCAAGGAACAAGAGAATTGCTTTCCCTTCTCTCCAGCTCCCGACGAGACTCTCCGTCCACCCTCCCTCTGCAGTTATATGCACCGGAAAACACCATATTGGAAAAGAGTGTAAGGGCGAGAGCAAGATTATCGTGAAGGATTGGGTCGTGAATGGAAAAATTGTAAGAACGTTGTCAATTGCTTGACAATCAATATCACAGTCTCATCCGAGTATAGCAACTCCTTCTCTCAGAAGGCCTGGAGCACGTTTTCAAAAGCTTGCATCTATTTTAAGGTTTGCAAAACGACAGCACCCTTCAGCTGGGCCTCCTTGATGGTCTTATCGTCATCATCCAGTATTTTGCGGGGATATGATGTTGCTAGCGTGAAGCTAGCGACGCCAGGTCTAGAGGCTGCAACGAAGCTTCGTAGATCCCGCACAGTGTTGTCCTCATTCATTCTTGCGACTAATCTTGTGCCATCGCTGAGCCTGACCTGAATAGAAGCCACGGGACGCGACTCGTCAACAGAAACAGAGGCGGCAGCGTTCTCTGCATTCACGCCATCAGCGGGCGCTGCTGGCGCTGCCGATGAGGGACCATCAGAAAGACGCTGTCCGCCACCCGAGAAGGGAACAATCTTTTTCTTTGGAGCGACGTAATCTTCGCCCTTTTTGTCGATAAGGGTAATGCTGACGTCGCCTACACCGGGCTCCTCCATCTCTCTTGGGACTACTCCTCGATTGACATCAGCCAGAAAGGCCTCATTCTCCGGGTCATCAAAGCCTCGGAGCGGTCCATCATCGACCGTAAACCCGTTTGCGTAAAATGTTAAATTGCGAGTTATGTTCCTCCTCACCAAAATATCTGGCCCAACAGTAGGCGGTCTGTCAGTATCTCCGAGACGATACCCGGCGCCGGTGAATGTTTGTGGCCCGTCAAACGCCTCGCGGTCTTCATCTGTGCGAGGCCCACGCTCACGAGCTCGCTCGAAGATGGCGTCTGCGAGATTCGGGTTCTCCGGTGCTTCACCCTCGGTGGACGGGTTGTTGCCGCTGTTGCTGGCCGATGCTGACGCATCCGGTTGGGTTTTCCGTTTGTGAGGGTCTTGAATGACCTGACCAGATTTCTCCCCGCCGGCATAGTAGCTGTTTCGCTCGTCATCTTCCGGTGCCTCACGCAAAGAGTTTAGCGTGGCAACGCCCGACGCAGCAGGACGCCGTTGGCGAGCGGGTTGGGCAGGAGGATTCGAATTTGACGGCGGTGGTCGGGTAGGAGCCGGTCGCGCTGTCGTTGTCGGAAGGGTGGCTCCAGCCGGCATCACACCCCCGGTCTCGAAGAAGGTCGTAACCGCTGCATCCATGTCGTCCCCGGTAGCGGAGAGGAAAAACCTTGCAGTTGCAGCGTCCGCGCCTGTAATCGACGTAAATTGTTCCACGGCCGTTGGGTCCAGCATGACGTTAGATCAGAAGTTATTGCTACCTGCGTGAAGAGTACACACAACTTGTTCAAGCCGCGACTAACAAAAACTGAGTGATTATGTTTATCGCAAGACGAGACCAGGGGTAGACGCGCATGAAAAAAAGATGAGCAATGATTCTCGTGTCCAAGATGGAATCCAATTCATTCCCTTCCAGGGGTAAATTTTTCCCTTCCAGCCGTGATCCAAATTGGATCAACTACTACTGTATATAAATACGCCACAATTTCATGGTTTTTCCAGCAGTGAAACGCTGATGTGGCCGAGTGGTTAAGGCGTCAGACTTGAATTGTGCAGGAAATCTGATGGGTTCGCCCGCGTGAGTTCGAATTTAATCGAGTACCTCATCGTCAGCGCGCTATCTTTTTAGTTCCAACCCTTTTTCTTTTACATCTGTCCGGGCAGTTGAGCTTATAATCCTTGGAAAAGCTGTTGACATCAACTAGTTAATTTGCTTCAAACTATGGGATGAGCATGTCGTAGATGTCTCTCACACCTTGGCATGACAGGTCGCGGCTCATGTCAGCAACTCGTTCCTCGAATTTTAGCGGTCTACTGGGTCCAACTCCTTGCCCAGGAATCCCATATCTATTACCTGACGGCCGCGAACACTTATGCGAGAGGCAGGTTCGCCTTCAGTGTTCCGCTGAGCACATGTATATCTGCTCCGGAGAGAAGGACAGAGTCTGTAGAGTAGTGATATCGCGCTCTGAACTTGTGTTGGCATTGGCATTCGTAGGGTTAAGTCCGATCAGGATGATACGGTCGCGTTCCTTGTCCCTGGAGAGTGGGCCGACAGCAAATAGAGTATCGACAGCCTACACCCAAGATGCTTTTGTAAATGGATTCAGACATGGACCGACCAAAACAAAAACAAAGCATTTATTTGGCTTACATGAAGTGAGGAAAATCCACCGCATGTCAGCTTCGGACCGAAGCTAGAAGGGCAGATGAAATGTACTAAAAACAGAAATGTGCTGCAAGAGGCACACGCCAACGACAATGCCCCAGCGGCGAGCACTTCTCGCGCCGTTTCAAGAGAATCAGTTCTGGGACAGAGGTTGTCATGTTATCCATGTGAAACTCCTTCGTTGCCTTGTGCACTTTCTTACGTTCTAGTAAGGACGATAGGCAAGGCTTCTGTGTTGAGAATCGTAGCTAAGTAGTGTTTCCACCAAAACATAAGATCGACTTCCCACGATTCCTACTAGGGATTTCTGCGCAGTTTATTCAAACGGCTTTGGTGTCACGTTTTTGCATCTTGGGAAAACCCGGATTTGTCATTTGATTCGAATAGTTGTTTCCATTGGACTCCCGATGGCCAAATCAAAATGTTGAAGACTGCGTAAGCAGTTGGGGTGAAGCCCAATTTCAACCATTTGTAAGTCTAGTCCTATCGCACCTGAGGCACAATATCAAGAAAATGAACATGCAGCTAAACCTATCCCGATTGCGTCGCTCACTACGCAATGTGATCAACACATTTGCGATGTTTTGAAAACACTACTCACGGACTGGTGTTCGATGGCTGAGCTATGCGCAAGAGCAATAACCACTGGGCTTGGCTGTTGTTTTTCAATCTGTGTTGGCCAATTGCTTTGGAAGCAATCCGCCAACGGCATATCGAATATGAGCACCATCGTCTATTCATAGCCTTGCAACGAAGACCTAAAACATACCGCTGGAGTCAATTACGAGAAACTTCAGGGATAGTCGACTATTTACCACTCTCTTAACAACTTCAGGACCCTGACAACTTCGAGTAGAGGTTCTATCTCGTGTCCAACATCCGTCAGTTGAAAGTCTTCATTCCCTTGACGTTACCCTCCAAGTACAATGTGCACCCGAACCTTGATCTACGCAGCTCTTTTGTTGCTTGCGGTAGCGACCACTTCTTCTCAGAATACAACAAGTGTCCCCAACTCGCCACAAAGTCCGACATCTCCTTCGCAGCCTTCCGCGAATTCTTCCGCATCCGGGTCAAATGGATTTGGGTTCGGTTCAGGAGCCCCTGGAACCGGGGGTGGAGGGGGTTTTGGGTCTAACGGTGGCGCTGGATCTGGAGGCGGTGCTGGTACTTCTCTTGGGGGTTCCGGCGGAGGCGTAGGCGTTGCGGATGGTTCATCTGCAACTGGGTCTGGCTGCACAACTGGATCATGTGGAGGTGGTGTGGCAGCTGGTGCTGGTCCACTTGACGGTTTCACTACACTTGAGGGATCTAACGGAATGGGCTTTGGTTCAGGCGCTCCTGGCACAGGTGGAGGGGGTGGGTTTGGCGCGAACGGAGGTGGTGGTGGCGGTGGTGGTGGTGGTGACAGGCTCGGCGGCACTGGAGGCGGTGGTGGTGCATCGAATGGGTCTATATCAACTGGATCAGGTGTGACTAATTCCTCATCTGGAATTGGTACAGTGAACGGTGCCAACGCCGGAACAGTTCCAATTCCTACTCCAGGCGCTCAACCGACAGCTCAAGCAATTACATCAGGAATGAGAGACGACGATGTGACAAGCACGACAACTTCAACCGTGGATGCCATCCCTCCGACGGTGGACCCTTTACGAACATCTCCTCCCTTAAGTGTTTCTGGTGGATACAACGGTGGTGCAACTACCTCATCGACTACAAACGGAACGAATTCTGGAGTACCAGCAAGTGCTACATATGGACCATCGGGAGACACGGTACCCACGACGCCCACACCAATGTCGGCGAAGTCTACTGCGTCCACCCCAGTCCCCTCAATGCCGGCAGCAACAAAACGACCGCCACCGTCTTCTACTGCAGTGAGTCAACCTTCTATATCTTCCTTGCCAACGGCAATTCCACCACAACGTTCACAGACGACAAATCTCACGAAAACACTTGGGCCAACTGTGACAGCTATTGCTCCTGGGGCGTAAAGACCTTACAACGGGTCTTGATACGGATAGGAGTCTCGGGTTATTATACTGTAATAATCTTCGCCTCTAGTGAAACCAAACCTATGTCTTCAGGTGTAATTGAAAGAATATGAGAGAATCCCAACTACCATTTGGACTTTATCGGGAGCCAACAGGAGGGTTGACCTGAGACTTGTAGCTTTAGTGAGGTCATGTGGTTTTACCCGACTACAAACAGTTTCCGGCATTATTCGATACGCTTTAGATAATTTGCGTCTACAGTGCAAAATCAAGCAAGCTTTGAGACCTCCCCCTCCCCTTCCCAATGCCTTCATGTTGTGTCAACGAGCCAAGTCATGACAGCATACCAAGACGTCGTCTCATAGCGGCCCGTTTCTTTTCAGATCTCACTCTTTTTCGCATCGACAAAGCGTGAGCGTCATCAAATGTTTCAACCTCTGGTGGCCCCTCCTCATCCTCAACTGTCTTACTGGCGCGCTGCTTCGCAGCAGGCTCTTGAGTTGAACGTGTTTGTTTTGCTTCCGCGGCGGAACGACTAGGAGATTCCTGCGCTTCGTTTGAAGATCCGGCAACTGTCTTCCTTTTCTTCTTTGAAGGGGTTTGCGGTTGCAAATCTTTCTCTATCGACTTTTTCTTTTTCGAGAGTTTCCGCGCGGAGTCATCAGCCCTATTTCCATTATCTACTTCGGCGGGATCATTGTCAGAATCAATCTTTCTCTTAGCCATTAGAGCGGACTTCGGTTGCTGATTCGTCTCAATCAAATTTCCACGACCTCGAGACACTTTTGGTGAAGGCTGGACATCCCTAATTTTTTCCGCATTGGCATCAGCCTTACTTACAAGACCGGAAGGCTTAATGCGCAACTCTTCTCCATCGATAGTAGCCGATGTACCTGCTCTCGTCGAATCTTGCGGCGAGCCCTTGTGCCCTTTAACAGGAACTGACTTTACGTTGCCAGGCCCTTCATGTGCGATTTGTTCATCATTTTTTCTGTTTGTTGTTCTGTCCGACATCTTCTTGAGCTTACAAACAAAGAAACCGTCCAAGTTGTGTATATGTGGGTATATGCGACGCGAGTTTGTAAGGCTCGGATGAAACCTGTGTTTGCGCATTTTGGTGAAACCAGGCACTCCGAATGAGATACCGGCCTCAACAACTTTAACGTCTCTCTTGCGAAGAGCGTAGTCCACTACTGCTTCGTTTTCCTCCACTAGGACTGAGCATGTAGAATACACAATGTAACCACCCGTTTTCGACTTCGAGTTTACCGAATCAATGGCGGCGAGTATCAATTCCTTCTGAATTCGCGTGGTATTCTCCACATCCTTCCTGCGACGATTCATTTTTACAGCTGCGTCGTGGCTAATGATTCCAGATCCCGAACATGGAGCATCAAGAAGCGCTCGATCGAAGCTGTGGCCAAATATTTTGGGAATCTGAAGACCATCATAGTTGCTCACGACCGCATTTTTCAGGCCGAGACGGTGAATGTTCGAAACCAGTGACTTGATTCGGCCCCTTTTGAGATCGTTCGCGACAAGGGTACCAGTATTCTTCATAACGGCACCTATGTATGAAGTCTTGCCTCCGGGCGCTGCTGCCATATCAATAACTCGTTCGTTTTGCTGCGGTGCAAGCGCGACCACTGGCAAGAAGCTTGATGCTGATTGAATCATGTAGTGACCGGCCAGATATTCTGGAGTCGCACCGACCGGAACTGACGAGTCATAAACGACAAGGCCAACGGCTGACCATTTATCAATAGGATCGACGTTCATCCCTCGGGTAATGAGAGCCTCGGCAAGTTGCCTCCGTCTAGTCTTGAGCGTATTTGTTCGAATTGTTAGTGGTCTCGGAGATTCTGACGCCTCCATGAAGTCGACAATATCTGCACCGGGAAAGACATCCATGAGCATTTCTGCAAGTTCCTCGTTGTACCCAAAGCACGTGCAGATGGTTTCTCGTAGAGCGTCAACGTAGTCAGAACGGGCCATGTCAGGCTCGCGGCGGGTTTTGAAGTCAGCCAAGACGTGCAAAATACCACGAATGCGAAGCATAAGTTCTTCTCGTGTCGCTCCCATAATCGCATCTTCGTCTCTACCACCACGGCCTAATGCTCCAGATTTGAGCTTAAATCCAGCGTCTTCCTTCTCCGCACGTTCTCTTTCATCTTGCATTTCGGCATCCGCTTCACCTGCCTCACGAAGTCGCTCTTGAAGAATGCGTTGCGATGCCATTTCAAGGTTGTCGGGAGGTAGACTGCTGTCACTGTCGGAATCTTCGTCGTCGTCGTCGTCGTCGTCGTCCTGGTTATCCTCTTCGTCGTCGTCTTCCTCTGAGTCCAGTAGCTCCGTGGTGCCATTTCCTGGAGTAGCGAGGTCTTCCTGTGATGACTGACTGTCATTCTCACTTTCTTCTTCGTCCTCCGAAGAGGCAGGCGATTCAGGGTGCCCATTCGCGGTCTCTTTCGAATGGCCGTTCGCTTCATGGGATTCGACATCCTCCTCTTCTTCCTCTTCGTCGTGGTTCGAAGTGCTCTTAACTTTGAGCCATTTCTTATTTTCATCTGAAAAGACTGGGGCACGAGTTTTCTTCTCCCGCTTACCGTTTTTCGGTACGACCTCAACACCTTCTGTATCACGATCGCTCTTCTTCAGTTGATACTCCAAACGGCGACGTCGGACTCGTTGTCGCTGGCCTGCCCCTTCGGCGACACCGGGATTATGGCCCGTGTGCTCAAGACCGGTTCCCAGTTCTTCGGCGCGCTTGCGGCGGCGGGCGCGACCCGTTCCTCCCATTGCAACTGCAAATTTGTTATCAGAAGTGGAGACGCGGAGAGGAGGTAGAGCCAGTTGCAGTTGATTTTCTGAGAGCAAAGGAGATGCCCACAGGTGCAATTTTAACCGGCGGGTGCGATGTGGGGGCAAAGTGCCTGACGTAGCCCTGGGGATCAGAGGCACGGCAAGTTACGCCACCGCCGTCGGTCCTGTAGAAATCCGTGTCGCCTCGAAATAATTGTGAAACGTGGGATACATGGACACATGTACCTACCCAATTGGATACACGTTTCACCGGCAGGATTCTCGAAAAAGGTAGAGGAATGGATCCACTTGTTCGTTCAAGGTTGGATGTATCTCCAAAGGACTGAATTCTGAGCATGCTCCGGGCCAGGCAAACATCGTATCAAATGCCCTGCCACTTGGCTACGGATAAATGGTCAATTCATAGAGCAAGGCGATTGGACAGCGCCAGTTCTCGGCAACGGCGCTTGTCCGTTGGCCCGTCAGAGTGGCTGCGACGGAGCGAGTCCAGCATCTCATCCGCACACACGAAAATCCTTGTCATACTGCATTGTCCCGTGCCCAGAAGATACCACCCATCTATTCCGCGGTGGCCCCGCATTCCTCTGGCGGAGAACTCCTTCCTCGTCGGCGCCCAAGGCAACACGTTCGTCCCTTTCCCAGATAAGGTTGTTTGTTTGCACACACTCGTGCTGCACACTCATCACTAAGTGCACTCCTCAGCCACATCACGAACAGATACTCACCATGTCTCCCTATCCGATCAACGTCCTCTACGGAACGGTGACCGGCAACGCGGAAGAAATAGCCCGCCGCATTCACAACGAGCTCCCGGGGAAGAAATTAGGCCAAGGGCTTCTGTGCAGTCTCGAAGACTACGCGAACGTCCCTTCCTTCAACCAAGGCGGAAGCGACGGGTACGCGGTCGTGGTTGTCTCCACCACAGGTGATGGAGACCCTCCCGAGACTATTCGCCCGTTCATGCGACTACTTCGCAAGAAAAAGGACACCGAAGTTTTGAAGCAGCTTCGTTTTACTGTCCTCGCCCTCGGCGATACCAACTACGAGAACTTCTGCAACACAGGTAAGCGAGTCGATAAAGGGCTTGCGAAGCTTGGTGCCACCAGGTTTTACAAGCGCGGTGATGCAGACGATGGCGTCGGACTTGAACTCGTCGTCGAACCGTGGCTCGAGGGATTGTGGACCGCTTTGTCGAACGAGGTGGAAAGAAATGCCAAGGAAGGTCCAGTTGAGAGAAAGAATGTGGTCGAAGTTGAACAAATGGCACTCGCCCCGCAAGAGAAAGACGAGGCTGAACTTGAAACAGTTGTGAAGGCTGTGACTGTGCAAGAGTTAGGGTTTGACGAGGCGAGGCTGCCAAAAGTTTTTCCTCCTAAACTCAATGCTTCCGTCTTAGACGCTGGCCCGACGTTCGAGCCACCGACATCCGTCAACTTATCATATAATCCAGACGTTGTCAGATGTGCGTCTATTTCAGCCGCGCAGTTGCTGACTTCCCCGGATGCAGGTAAGATTGTTTGGCATGTGGAGGTCACTTGTGATGAGAGCAATTCCATCAAAAAGAAGTATCGCCCCGGTGATGCATTCGGTGTCATCGTTGAGAATGATCCAGATGAGGTGCAACGGTTTCTCAAAATTATCAGCGTGGACGGAGACTCAATCTTGAAGGTCGTAAAAGACAGTGGGGATTCCATCGCTACGGCCCCTGTGTCTCAATTTGCAGCTCAGCGCATTGATCTTCGTGCGGTTCCCAAAAAATCGTTATTGCGTTGCATGTCTGACTATTGCGAGGACATCGACGAAAGGAAGGCATTGCTACATTTGTGCTCTCGAGACGGTAGAAAGCAATACTCTGAAGAGCTTGTGTCGAAGAACATGTCAATTGTCGAGATATTGGAACAAAAGGCTCCTTCGTGCCGGGCTCCGATATCCTTATTTTTGGATCAGCTACCCTGTGTAGCTCCAAGATGGTATAGTGCGACCTCCTCTCCGGAACTAGATGGCTCTGCCGTCCTGCAGTTTGCGTTTAGCGTTGTTGAAAAGGGCCTTGCAACAAATTCACTAAGCAAAGCCTGTGAACAGTTCTTGAAGGGTCAGCCGACACGCCCCGTCTTGTTGATTGCACGGGACTCTGACAGTACGAGTCATTTCCGACCACCAGTCTCAATGGAGACAGACTATATCATGATCGGTCCGGGAACTGGTGTGGCTCCCTTCCGAGGATTTCTCCGGGAAAGAGCGGCCCGCGTGGAGAAAGAACAAGCACACACGCCATTGAACAGTAAAACAATTCTGTTCTTCGGATGTAGATACGCGGACAAAGATTTTCTTTATCGAGAAGACCTAGAAAAATTGGAAGAGACAGGCATTTTGTCGTCTTTAGATGTAGCTATCTCGCGTGGCGGAGCCAAAAAAGTGTACGTGCAAGATCGCCTTAAGGCGCGGGCATCTGAAGTGGCGGACGTTGTCAAGAACGGAGGGAAAATCTTTGTATGCGGAGATGGAGGGGGTATGGCCCAGAGCGTTCACCTCATTCTTGGCGGAATCCTTGCCGAGCACTGCTGCGAAGGGAATGAGGAAGAAGGTAAGAGCATGCTTCGTTCTCTAGCCGAAGAGCATCGCTACGTCCGAGATATTTGGTACTACGGAGAGCACAATCAGTGAAGCATCCCTCGCAACGGGCGCTCTTGAACTCAGCATACATATAGAGCCGGATGTTTCGTTCGAAGAATTATTGTAGAGTGTTCCTTGCGTGAATTCAATGAAGTTTAGACAGCCTGCAAATTTTTTAATTTACTTACTTGGTTTCCGACATATCGAGACATAGTGTTTCAAGTTTGCTCGAGAATGCTTCTATGCCTGACTACCCTGCAAAGGGCTGAGACGGACGTGCACTACTCACAGGCTTATATCTTACCGCAACGTAGGATTCAGTCCAAGTACTTTTCCTCTTCTCATATATAGCATATATAACACGGTCGACGCGCTTTTTTAAAGATGTAAAGTTCAAATATTAGTATGTCTCACCTGGGTTCTGCTGAATAGTATGGTGGTGTCTTTGTGGTAATTAGCCTCATATGAGATCACTTTCCATCTTCAAGATTAATACAGTTAAGGCTACTTTTTGAAACAGTTCTATCTTTAGCCCATTCTCTCTCAAAGACAGAAACTCTGGGAGATCAGAAAGCACACTTTCCATATATGTTTTTAGGGATGAGTCGCACTTGGACATTACAACTGCATAAGGACCTTGTCTATTGAGCGAGCCTCTAGACGCCGTGCTGTATACAATACCCAAGGGTACTTACTGTATGACGATCGCACTACATAATATTGACATGTGTACACGTGTACAATATGGCCACACCCATGGCCCAAGTGCCTTAATGTAAAACATCGCTTCACAGTGTCTTATGGGGAATGCATTTCCTGTGGTACGCACAAAGCCCCTCCCTCGACTCCAGTCTAGGCGGGGTTGCTTTGGTGTTCGTTTGGTGGCAATGCCGATGCCTCCCCTGTGGCAGCTCCCTCTTGACTTCAGAGCAGTCCCCAGCAGTGCCATCAAACTAATGACCTACTCTCCCTGAGTACGGTAGTGGCCTCCCTCGTATTTACTCTCCAACCAAACAACTGAAGAGCCCGGAATCTCGACGTTTCCATTGTCACTAGCCCGCTGCCGCTACCAAGAAAGCTACAATTGGGAAACCAGTAGACCTGCGAAAGCAGCAGCCGAGTTCAGATGCCAATTCGAGCTTATGACGGAGCAGTAGAGTTTGGGCTTATGTTTGTGAATCCCAGTTTTCTTTCGTGCCCCTATAGACCCAAATTTAACCTCCAACCAAAGACGTGTTCGCGGCATTTTGCGTCCTGTTCCATCCCGGCGAGCAAGAGGCAACCGAGAAAACCGAAAGGCTTCTGGGATGACATTGAGAACATCCGAAAAGAACTGTTTGTTTTTCAACAAACCAGCGCAGATGTGCCTGAAGGGATGATGCCAACTGCCCGACAGCTACGCGCAGCTGGAAGACGAGACCTCGACAACGCCATATCCAAACACGGAGGATACCACAAGCTCTCCGAAGCACTTGGCATGAAACGCGCATCTGGCATGCAAGCCCCAGGCTATTGGAATGATTTCGCCAACTTAGAACGTGAAATTCGAGGGTTCTTGAAAACCCACTACGAGACAATACCGGAAGGATATATGCCAACTCAGAAGCAGTTTCGCGACCTCAAACGCTCGGACATTGTAGAAGGATTAGAGAATCACGGTGGAATGGCTCAGGTAGCTAGCAAACTGGGCCTCGTTGGACGAAGGTCTAACAAATCAGCAAATTACTGGAAAGAATGGGCAAAAGTTGACGCAGAGATACGGTCATTCATGGAGAATCGAAATGCCACTTCGTCAAACGAAACCCCATCAAACGATGACCTGAGCGAAAAAAGGCGTGCTGAGTTGCAAAAACTTCCTCGGATGCCGTCGCAGAGGGAGTTGCGTGCAGCGGGGAGAGGGGACCTGGCGGAAGCAATATCCAAATTCCATGGTGGTTTCCGAGAAGCAGCGAAACGTTTGGGATTCACCCCAAGGAAGAAAAAAGACTTCTTTTATGATAGCTTTTCTAATTTAGCGCGAGAGCTGTACTCATTTGCAAGTGAAGTTGGTGAGGAAAGTGTTATGCCCTCAACCGCCTTGATCCAGGCAAGAGGAAGAACAGACTTGGCAGCTGCCATTCGCAAGTATAATGGGATGTCGAAAGTTTCACAGCGTCTCGGCCTGCAGTACCGCGTTCGGACCAGAGAAGCGTTTAAAGATTGGGACATCTTTCGACGCAGTCTCGTGGCATTCATAGAGCGGCACGGTACCGCGGGGGAAATACCCTCGTGTAGGTCTCTCACAAACTTTGGTCGATCAGATTTGTATCAAGGAATCCTCCATCACGGAGGCCCCCGAGCAGTCTCTGATAGAATGGAACTCAAGAGGAACTTCTATCAGGACTTTCACAATGTGGGCAAAGAACTTCTCGATTTCATCAAGACGCATGGCACCGAGGGTGTAATGCCGACTGAAAATGACTTTCTTGAAATAGGAAGGTCATCTTTGAATTTGGGCGTGTCAAAGTTTGGACACTCCCATGTGGCGCAGAGACTAGGCTTGAGCGAACCGCTTCAATCGACTCAGATAGCGCTGGACACCCTTCTGCAACGCTCGCTGAATCTCTGGGAGTATTGCGAATGTGACGGTGACACAGAAGAGCGATGACGGAGATAGGGATGTGACGCTCCTGACACGAATTGTGACGCAAAGGAATGTAAGAGTAGAACGCATGCATGAGGATCACATGTCTGAGACGGATGCCTTGTATGCCGTTCGCTCATCTTCCCTTCTCTGGGCCCTCATCTTCGCGATGCGCGACTCAAAACCGTTGGACCTATCGACTCCGTCCCACCGCGGACCTGCTGAAATATTATACCTGTTGTAGGAAGTCCTTGGCACTGTTTGCAACTGTTCGAATTGGCCTGCGCTAACATTCAAACTGCGCGGGGGTACAGAGCCTTGCCAGGTTGTGGCGGATGGCATTTTGCGACCGGAGCGAGCCGAAAGGCCATTCCCCTGCTCCGAGAAAGAGGGATTTCGAGCCCGAGTTGATTTTGCAAAACCATCGGGCTTGCTTGGATTGAGGTCATATGCGGGTCTTGACTCTGGTAACTGCAGGCTCGTGTCGGGGTCATGCATTCCACGAAACAAGGGAGAGGGAAGTGCAGCACCCCCACTCTGCTCTCTTTCAGGTGGAAGGCTGTGGTCAATCGCGGGATCAGTCCTCGATGCACGTCGATCACGCGGTGGGTGTCTTGCGGCAGACGCAGGAGGACGGCGAGGTGGCGAGGCGTCACTGACATTGCCGGAAAGGGCAAGGTCCGGCACATGGCGGGAAGGAGAGGGGCGAGGGCGTCGCGGCGGTGACGCATCGCTGACGTCGCCGCCGTGTGTTGGACGGTTGGAATCGATTGACGCATGCGCTGGGTCCATGGGCAAGATTTGGTTGGTTTGAGCTTCGTCTGGTCAGACGACGCTCAGGGCTCTCTGAGGTTGCGTTGAGAAGTGGATGAGTGACTCTTCTCGCACGCCGAAGTTGTGTGTCATTCACAATATGTCGTCTTGCTCCGCACGTTATGGTCCGCACGGTATCTGCACGGTACGCTCCGCAACGGCAAAGCAAGCAAAGACTGCTCGGCAAGAGTAGGACGCAGTGCCAATGCCTCATCCTTGATAGTACCCTTCTCATCGGCTCAATTTGGGTAGCTTTAGAATTTTCCTAAAATCGGCCATTTTACCCCTGTACTGGCCAGATTTTCAGTACCAAAAAATCTCTCTTTGACTGCTCCACGTACTGTACCATCCGGCTCAATTTGGGCACCCATACCGAAGCACATTTACCTAGGCTGCGACAAACCGAGGAGACTTTGTGCTGCGGCATGTTGCGGACCGGTATCGCGACTCTCCCCTTTCCCCTTGACACTAGACCAATTCCGTGTCCGCCACTGACTCAGGGGAACATCGTCCAAAGAATCCGAAAAACTGCTCTCTAGGTTTCGAGCAACCTTCGCCTCTCCAGCAGGATCTACGTTTTCTTTGTCACAAAAAGACTCCCTCGACATCACCCTACTGTGTGTCTTGATAGCCTGTGAGCTGGCGTGTTCGCGATTGAAGTTTCGTTAGCCTCCGACAGCCTTTGAGAAACATTCGAAGTGAGAACAGCCGCTCCCTGCATTTTTCCACTATTTTTACGTGCTGTGCGAGTGCAAGATGCCGTTTTAGGGGCACGGATTTCGTGTGATAGTATGTCCTGGACTCTGTAATTGGACTGCAGAATACAAGCAACCTGTGCAAGAGTGCGGGAGGCGGGTAGCCTGCCGTCAGTCAGACAGAAAGTGAATTTCTTTTTTGTAGTTTGAGGGTTTGCGTCCGCTGACCCCATGTGAGGTCCAACTGACAAATTGGCGCCCTTTACTGGGATATGAGATACGAGATCGTGTGTCGAGGCTATGTGGAGCACTATCAGAGGGAGCAAGGTATATAAAACGGTAATCCATAGGCCAAATACGGCATTTGACGAACGACGCCCGAGCATTGTCCGGTGTGATGGACTAGTGGCCTGCAACTGCCGGATTGATTTTGTAAGAGGTCTTCGCCCAAGATAAATGGCTCATAGAGATCAATTCGTCCCTCGCCTTCCGCGCAGTTGGCTGAAATGAGCGATTCACAAGTTGGTCGCAGGGTTGGAGAATATGCGTTGTGTTTGCGGGGAGCTGCACAACGATAATATTCAATCTTTCACACGTCTCAAGCCACTGTAGCCCATCACGGGAGCTGTGTCCATCCACCAACAGCACAATGTGCTTATCTGAGGGGATGGTTTTTCGAGCATGCTTGTTTATGTGCTCTGCAATTTTGACGAATATGTTTCAATCCTCGGATCCATTCTTTGTTTACGTGAAGAGATGTGTGTAAAGGAAACCACTGTGACCCACAAAGCTAGTCGGGTATTCTTCGCGAGTCAGTAAAGTCAAGTTCGCTCAGGAGCTCCTTCCAAGTGCCCACAACCTGCTTCCCGGAAGCTTCGAGAAATAGAGGTGCAATTTTTCCGCAACCCGCTACAGCGATACCAGCGGTCACATGCTTCCCATCGTCCCGTATGCTCCTCCTCGCATCACCGCTGTGGGTATTGGAGGAGGTGTAACACCTCATTTTTCTACCGAACTCTCCTGAGACAGCCGTCCCATCCCAGTTCCAAATGCGGCGTGGGTCCAAAAAATTCCGGGATGATTTTCCTCGACGCGTTTGAGGGCTTTCGCCAGAGTGAGTATATGAGACTGATTCTCAGCAGCAAGGCGTGTGCTTGAGAAATTCTCAGCAACACGGTAAGCGAGGGAGCGATTACGAGCTCGAAAAGAACGGATAGCGTCTGGTGAGGGCAAGCCATTTGCGTATCTGGCGGAACGATCAGCCGAAATTTTGGCGTGTACTGTGCTCATCACGTTTTTTTCTACTGCGGAGCCATGCTGAGCGGCATGTAGAGCTCGGTTAACTACAAATTGTTCCTCATGTGGAGACAGAACGGGTTTGCGACTGGCGTGATTGTCCTCTGTATTTAGCAACTTTTTGAGTTCGTCCGTGTTTGAGCTCTGATATGCTTTTTTGATTCGTGTGGCGGTTGATCGAGACACGCTTGTCTTTTCTGACGCTTTGTGGGCGCTGTCGCCCCCTTTGATTAGGGAAAGGAGCTTTGCGCGTCGAGCTGCCTCCTCTTTTCTTTTTGCGATTTGCCTCTTGTGAGCGAGCTCTTGCGCTCTCATTGACGGTTGCATACCGCCACCGCCGAGTCAAGGCGCACGTAGGGTGGAGGAGGGAGGAGAATACTGTCCCTGCGCGAGGTATGGGGTTTTGAGATACACTGTGGACATTTTTAGAAGGCCGGGAAGGCATAGGCTCGAGGTTTGCACGGTACCCAAATTTCACCATTACCCAAATTAAGCCGGGTACAATATGCGAAACGCAAATAAATACACCCATTAAGAGCATCTTTACCGCATGACCGTATTTAGAGGGTTTTGCGCTTAGACACTAGAGACTAGGCGTAAACTCTCTAATTAAGCAAAAATAATGCACAATTCTGCAATACGTGTGACACCTGTAAATGATTCCACAATTCTGTTATCCGGTCGTGACGATAATTTCTGTTAGGGCAGCCCTATTATATCCCTTGTATTGCTTCCTATGGATCCATATATGGAACACACCTTTCAAAATGGCTGTAGTAGCTCAATAGCCACGATTTTTATTACTTTCGTCCGCCAACCCATTCTTCACACTACTCACAACCATCCACTAAAAGGCCAGGCTGATTCCACTTCGGCAACGTCTCCAATTTTTATTGTGCAACTTCCTCATTTTGGACCTCCCCATAACCTCCTTTTTCTATTGTTCCATGTCATGAGACCCATACGTGCACACGTAGCACACGCATGACAGCGCAATTAGATCATCTTTATTCACCGCCGTCTCACTAATCCCTCCTATTCCCTTATAAGGTAGAGACACGATAGGCATCAGTAAACGGAGGCATCGATCTTGCACCACAGGTTATGGACCCGAAGATCGCCTCACTGCAAGACGATCAAAGCACCCCGAATATCGCCCCGGACCCGGTCAAGACGACAACACCACGGCACCCCCCAGCCCTGTCGCCCCCGTCCCAAGTTCGCGCACGCGAGTAGAGGCCCTTGTAAGCGCTCCGGCCACCGCCGTAGAGCCCGAAGAAACCGCTCCGGACACCACCGTAAAGCAAGAAACCACAGCTCCGCAACACCGCGTCGAGCCCACCCCGATCGCCAAGTCTTCAACGCAAGAAATGGAACCCACAACTTCGTCGATCGAAACAAAAATGCTTGGTCACCTCCCCGCTCTCCTCAGCGACGGGACCAATAACGGCATATGGAAACAAACATTGCAAGACATCGCGATCATCAACAATGTCGAGGCAGCCCTTGATGACACCGCACCACCGCCGACCATCACAAGCCCGCATCATCCCAGCTACAGGAGAAAATGCGCATCCTTGCGCATGACCATAATGGCAAGCCTGCCATCCGATCTCGCAAGTACGATAGATCTAGAGTCCACTGTCACACCGCGGCAACTGGTCGCCGAAATCACGGCCCACTTCACGGACTCCACCCCGACTACGCACCTCATCCTGAAACAGGAAGCCCAGCGAACCAAGCTGACGGCAGGGGGAGATCTGGAAGAGTACATCGCGAAACATAGGACAATCCGGATGAAAATTCGAATGGCCCGATACCCCCGTATCCAGCAAGATGAAGCAGTCACCATTGACTTCATAATCAACAGCCTCAACTCGCACCCGGCGTTCCCCCACCTTGCGGACATGTGGATCGCAAATAACACAGTACCCACCAACATTAATAATCTCGCACAACGCCTCAAGGCAGTACAAGTACGAGATGAAGAAAAGCAGGCCAACCGCAACCAAGATCCACAAAGAATGCCCCACCAGGCTCCATGCCCACCAGAGATCAACACCCCGCCCCCGCCACCCCGCACACGCGGCAGAAGGCCAGGGAGAGGCGCCCCGTACCAACCACGGCAAGCCCAATGGCGCACCGATCCGCCCGGTCAAAATACTCCGCCTCACCAAGGCACGACGACCCCAACGCCCCGCAGTAGGCAATGGACCACCCCCATTGACCACAAGCGACCTCCGGCGCGCAGCACCCACCCGCAGCGCCAGACCGCCACAGGACAACTCGCCAACGCAGACGACGAGTATGACGACAACATTGTATACCAAGCCCTCCAGGAGGAAGAACCTGAAGGTAAGCAGTACGCCCTCGACTCAGGGGCCCACCCGTCCCATGTCTGAAAACCAACACGTCACATGAGGCCACTATGCTGAATAAATTATTCGGCGTATTAAATACGCACTAACACGGCTACCAACATCACCCCTTCCGCCACACATCAGAGGATGCTCCACATCCCGACCGGTACGAATAGGCAGATCCGAATCCCTGCCATTGCCAACCCCGCACTGCGCTCCAACTTGCTCTCCGTGCACGACATTGCCGTGCAATGGGGAGAAGTCAGGTTCACACCCACACAAGCACTCATCCTGGATACGAGCATGAGTTCACCGCAGACTGTAGCCAAAGAAAAATTCTCCAAGGGTATGTACTACCTGCAAGTACCCAAGGTGAAAGGAAACGGCATGGCAGCAAGGACCGCCCCGGTAAAGAAAATTACCTCCACGAAAGCACCGAGAGCAAAATAAAATACGACGACGGCCAAACCTAAACCAAGCCGCATGCCAACACTCGGACACGTGGCGCCGACAGTAAAAATAATACCCCTGCATGTAGCGCACAACCCCGCGCCGGCGCTGTACACCCCGGCGCACCCCGGAGTCGAACGGGACTTCCACCATTACCATGTGATCTTCAGTCACATACGCCCCGCCACGCTTCAAAAAATGGCAAAGCTCGGCCTCTTGCCCAACCTCCCACCCACGTTGAGACAAAGACCCCCGCGTATCACCTGCTCGAGCTGCGCAGTCGCGAAACAACAACCGGCCCAGCACTACCCAACCACACACAGGTACCTAGTAGGAGCAGCGTTCAGCAGTGACATATGTTGACCGTTCAACCCGCCCTCACGCCAAGGAAACAAGTTCATACTCACGATAATTGACACGAGATCAAGATACCTCATTGTCGACTTCTTGGAGTCACGAGCTGAGACA